TACACCTTTTTTCTTTCCCCTTCCTGGCCCCAATGAGAGGCACCTGACCTGTGCCAGGATGCGTCAGCAGAAGAGCTCTTTATCTCCCCACACGGTCCAAAGTCTGATGCTTCCCGGGAAGAGGGTAGGGGTTCAGGCACTGGAATTTCCTCCAGTGCTGCCGGGGAGGATTAGAGATGGAAAGATGTTGTGCGGAGTCCTGCTGCTGAAGTGCGAACAATCTGCTGTGAAGGGAAGTGCATAAATAAACCTAATGTTATTCCCCCCTCATTCCAGAACGTATCAAGAAACAAATAAGTACTTCTCTTATCTCTATTTAGGCTGCATTGTGCACACAAGCTAACACAGCATAATATGAGAGCGAAAATAGAAGCCAAGCTGCATCCGTGGAAAAACTGCAATCGTTTTTATAGAGGAGGCAGTTCCTAGCTTCAAGAAGCATGACAGCTTGAGTCATGTTTCTTGGACGCGCTCATCATCTTGGCAAGCAGCACACGTTAAAGCCTCCATTGTTGGGAAATCTAAATTCCCCTCTGCCTTAAAATATCTGAACTTGGGATAAGATGGCTTACGACTTTTTTGTAAGTGAAAAAAAAATCACATTGAGTGATGCTTTCAAGATTTTTCTGTGGAAAAATGCCACGTTCTAGGCCAAAGTAAACTTTGTCAAAATAGAGATAAGCTGCTGAAAACAGCTCGTCTCTTGCAAGTCAGTAGCCTACACCAGAGGGGGTCATCTTTTCCTCCCCGTGGGATGGAAATAGTGTTTCCTGCTCCGGAGCAGGGAACAAGCAGAGGGAGTGGGAAGCGGCTCCTGCGCTGGCGCCTGTCCCGGCTCCGTCGCCGCAGCGCGGACGAGTCCGGTCGGGGCGGTGCGAAGCGCTCGTGGCGGATCCGAAAGCAGCGGCTGCAGCTCCTAGACGGGACTCCAGGAGCAGGAGCGCGAACGCTCCCTCCCTCGGCGCGGTAAGAGGAGCGCCCTCCTCCTAACACAGAGGCCGTGTTTTGCTGTGGGTTTCTTCAGCAGAGTGTTGGACTGCGTGGAGCCTGTTTCCACGCTTCTCATGGAGTTCATCATCCTTCATTTATCTGCTTTAAAGATCCATTTTGCCCCCAGTAAAAAAAGTAACACGACAGCCGCTTGTTTGTTGCAGACGAGCAGTTCCCACATTCTGGGAAGTCTCGTCCCTGTTTAAACAGGGCTGGTTGACACAACCCCGTCCCCCGCGGGACAGGCACGTCACCCTGCAGCGTAATCCTGCTGATGCCGCTCGAATCGTTTCCCTGAGCCGCAGAGAGCCTTTTTGTGCCAGGGTAACTCCAGCATTTTTGCTAGTATAACTCCGTGCACTACTGACTCCTTCCCGAGCTGAGCCGTGTTGGCTCAGGCAGGGATGCAAAGGGCCCGGAGGCTTCTTGGTAATACGGGCGCGCCAAAAATCATTGCCTCAAGGAAAGGAGGCTGGATGAAACGCGGAGCCTTTTTGCCGCGTGGTGAGGGAGGGATGGAAATGCAGAGGGCTGAGCTGTGTTGGCTGCTGCCGTTGTCCCCAGGGGCTGGGAAGGCTGGAGCAGTGAGTGCAAGCGCTGGGAGGGCAAAGCTCTTTGCTCCAGCAGGACCGCGGTAGATC